TCTGTGCTTCCTGTGGGTTCTTGGGGGGCGGGGGGCAGTGGAGGGGAAACATATGTAGTACTGGGGATAGGAACCAGTGTCAATAGGATACAAGGGAAGTGCCTTAGCCCCTGTACAATCACTCCAGCCCACAACTTAAAAATGTTTTAATTCATTTTTTTTAAACTTAGTAACTTTTTCTTAGACAAATACCTCTTGTACCTTCTGGCTACACAATCTTAAGAAGACAGAAAGCAAAATGAGCTTTATTTGGGGATCAAAATTGCTGGGTGCTCTAATCCTTTAACATAGTGAGATTCTGGTTATGATTAAGTTGACTTTCCCCCACAGCCATTCCCTGCACACGCGCACAGAGATGACAGTGTGTATCAAAGTTAGAGGAAGAGCTTGGAAGCCAAATCACCTTATCAGTTTCCAAATTAACTTTCTTACCATGATGCCAAATTTCTGGATGTCCGTGAAAGTAAGATCCTATCCCATGTCCCACAAAATGTGGACAGACTTGCAAACCATTCTGATGAGTTATGTGACTTTAAAAGTGACCAAGAAAAACAGTTTGATTAGATATCTTTTACATAATGCTTAGATGAAAACAAAAATCTTTTTAAAATAGCATCTGAAAAAGAAAACAGTTATATTTAGAATAAGATTATGATATTAGTTTGTTTTCATTATACTGAATAATTGAAATGTTTGCAGTTGCTTGTAACAACTTCCTTGAGATAAATGGGGGGTAGGTGGGTGTTAATGTTTCTAACACAGTGGTTTGCTTCATTTCCTTTAGTACACATTTAAACAAGACTAAGTTATACACAAAATGTGCACATGCATATATACACACATACAAACCTACAACCAAGAGACATGTGCACCTAATGTGGGTCATAAAAACTTGCCTACTCAGCTCAGATAGAGAAGGGAGCACCAAATAAAGGGTGTTGGGAGGATCCTCCCAGGATGGGAGATCCGTGCTGAGAGTGGACTGTGGACTGAACATGACTGCCACTCAATGCCTCTGTTGCAAACCACAGCACCCAAAAGGAGAGAGAGAACAAAAGGGAATGCCCTGCCACAGAGGCAGGGTGGAATGGGAGGGAAGGGGGGTGGGAGGGATACTGGATCAGTGGGGGTGGAGAATGGGCACTGGTGGAGGGATGGGTGTTCGATCATTGTATAACTGAAACCCAAGCGCAAAAATATGTAAGTCTACAACTGTACCTCATGGTGTTTCACTAATAAAGATTAAAAAACAAAACAAAACAAGAAAAACAACTTGCCTACTTTGTTTGGATTTCACAAAAGACTTTCCCAAATTTGGGAACTATTCCTAATTTGTGAACCAAACAAACAATTTACAATCTAGAATTATGTCTTCCTTCTTCAATATTCTTTTATTCTAGTTTATTTCAAAACCTTCTAGATTTTGCAAATAGAAACACTCACAAAAAAGACCAAATCTGCTTTGTCAGTATTCCTGAAACACTCTAAAACTTTGTGATCATTTAAGATTTCCACTCAAGACCTATTGCATTACTAAAAATCATAAAAATTCTTTTAAATCACTGTCATGCTTGGGAAAAACTAGTACCTACAACACAGATTTTGCAATCAGGGAAATGTGTTTATTTCCAGCAGCACCAGAAAGATAAGAACATATATACAGTCAATGTCTTATATTTTGAAGTGGATAAAGGGCCTAATGGCTTTATTATAATCATATTAATGAGTGAGGATTTACAAGACTGCTATTAAATCCTTAACAGATCCAAAGTTCTCCAATCTTTTGGGGGTCTGAGCATTAGTACACCGGGTAGGGTGCTTGCCCTGTATGCAGCTGACCCAGGTTCGATTTCTGGTACTACATATGAAAACCTCCTAGTCCACCAGGAGTGATTCCTGAGTGCAGAGCCAGGAGTAAATCACACGCTGCTGGGTGTGGCCCCCAAATGAGAAGCAAAACCATGAAAAGTTTTCCAATTCCAATAGAATTTTCAACAGACCCTAAGTTCAGTTTAACATGAACTCAAAGAGTGTTAACCAGTGTCCTTCATGGACTTTCTTTATGTTTTGTTCTGTTTTTTTTTTTTTTGGCCCACCCACCGATGCTCAGGAATTACTCCTGGCAGGGCACAGAGGACCACATAGTATGCCAGGGACTGAACCTGGGTCAGCTGCACGCAAGGCAAGCGTCCTACCTGCTGTACTATCTCTCTAGCACTGAATATTTCCTTTTAAACCCTCATCTTCCAACCTATAACATCTCTTCATAGACCAGGATATCGCTACAAATAGAAGAGTAACTTATTTTTTCTGATCTTATTTGCATGAACTTATAGTATAAAAGTTATTCATGTGCAAAGTCAGTGTTTTTATCTTTTATTTATTTTTACTTTAGGCACCAGGACTTACAATATGATAATGGCAAGGTTTCATGCAAAAAACATTCCAACCAGAATGTTAGCTTCCCTCCACCGTGTTCGGGTGTCCCCTGTCCCCCAGTATTCCCCATCCCTGTTATAGTCATATGCTTCCCATTAATGACCAGTTCTCATTTTTTGCTTCCTTTGAGTAATTGCTTCTTTACTGTGCTATTTTATATACCACATATGAGCTCATTCTGTATCTGTTCCTCTCCTGACTAACCTATACTTGATGGTCATATTGTATCTTCACACTTCGACCAGGAGGAAGAACTTTGTCAAGGTGTTTTTATTTGTACAGCACAAATAATTTCTCAATGTCACTGTACTGTCACTGTCCTCCCGTTGTTCATCGATTTGCTCGAGCGGGCCAAGTAAAGGTAAAGATAAAGGTAAAGGCCCTCCCATTGATCGTCGATTTGCTCGAGCGGGCCCAGTAATGTCTCCATTGGAGACTTTGTTGTTACTGTGTCTGGCATATCGAATACTCTCGGTAGCTTGCCGGGCTCTCCGAGTGAGCGGGCCAAGTAACGTCTTCATTTTGAGACTTGTTGTTACTGTGTTTGGCATATTGAATACATCACGGGTAGCTTGCCAGGCTTTGCTGTGCGGGTGAGATACTCTAGGTAGCTTGCCGGGACCAGGGGCAGAGGAATTGAACCCGGCTCAGCTGGGCTGGCTGTGCACCAGGCAAATGCCCTATCGCTGTGCTATAGCTCCAGCCCATAATTTCTGAATAGAGACTGAAAAGTTGGGTAGTTGGTGAATTTATTGGTTTTTGGGTCACACCCAGTTATGTGTGTGGTCATGTGCAAGGCGAGCTCCCTACCCACTATACCATCTCTTTGACCCCAAATGAGAGATGATTAATAAGACATTAATCTAGATTATTTTTATAGTCATGGATTCTACTAAACCTGTAAATCATTATTCCAATTCCAATAAACCTTAGTGATGAGTTTGACAACACTCTCTATAAACTGTTCTCCTATGTTCTTTCCTTAAAGGCTAGCTTTGGCTTTTAGGGATTTAATTGGCAGAAATCATCACTACAATTTAAATGTGTGTTAAAACTGTCATCTGTTAATTTCCCATTCCTCCAGGAATGGAAGAAAGCCCACCATGAAAAAATACTTGGAGTCCCCTCCCCTGATGCTGGTTCTCATTCCTCATCATAAAAGAAGCTGTATGATTACTAGGCCATGTTGGCTGCGTGCAAGGCAAACGCCCTACCGCTATGCAGCGGTAGGGCGTTTGCCTTGCACGCAGCCAACACGGCCGACCCGAGTTCGATTCCTCCGCCCCTCTCGGAGAGCCCGGCAAGCTACCGAGAGTATCTCACCCGCATGGCAGAGCCTGGCAAGCCCCCCGTGACGTATTCGATATGCCAAACACAGTAACAACAAAGTCTCCAATGGAGACGTTACTGGGCCCGCTCGAGCAAATCGATGATCAACGGGAGGACCTTTACTTACTTACTTACTTACGATTACTAGGTAGCTAATGATATTCAAGTGCATTTTACAATTTACTACCTGGATCCTACTGGAACTTCTTAGTACAGGAGGAACCTAGCGTGTATGTGTCATGGATGCAAAGATCAGATTTCAAGGCTGGGTGGGAAGAGCAAAAGAACAAATTGGGATGGAGAGATAGTATAGAAGTTAAGACACTTGCCTTGCATGTGGCCAACCCAAGTTTGATCCCCAATACCACATGGTCTTCCAGCCTCACCAGGACCCAAGCACAGAGCCAGAAAGAAGCCCTGAGCACAGCTTGGTGTGGCCAAAAACAAAACAAAACAAAACAAAATAGAAAAAATTTTTCCTTAGTTCCTAGATTGAGAACCTATTTCAATTTCCCAGGAGCTAAGTACATGTGTCCCTCTGTTTTACAGGGTCAAGTTTGCCTCTTGGATTGGTCGTTTTTAACACATAGGCAGTGGGAGTAAATGAGATAAAATCTCATTCATGTTCCTAGTTACTCTTTGAAAGCATGTCCTTTATTATTTAGGAATACAAGGGAAGCACACCTTTTATTTACCTAATTCTAGAGTTTAAATCTAACTTCACAGAGATACTTCCAAGTGACTGGCAGAACAGAACACCACTCAAACATGAAAGCAAGAACTTATAAATAACTCTTACTGGCAAGGGAAGGAGAACTTAGCGTGAATGTCTTCTGACTATTGTGCTGGGGAGATGAGCCAGATGGGAGGGCAGTGGGGCCCAAGGTGGGTTGCTAGTGTCAGCCTTAGTCTGGGTAGGCCTGGTATCTAAATACAAGCGTCTTCTGACTCTGGGTGTTTCCCCGTTAACTCTGTCTTCTTTTTACTAAAACCCATGAAAAAGAACTCTCCTGTCTTGGCACATGTGCTGGTCCTTACCCCTGAGTCTGAGCACAGTCATGATCTCAGGCCTTTCCTCAAGGATATTTAAGGATGGTGGAAGGGGAGAGGAATGAGGAGGCAGGAAGTGTCTAAGGGAATTTGTGAACTTAGTTTAAAATTATATTATATTATTACAATTCATGTTTTAGTTGGAAAAGATATCTCTACTAAGGCATTTCATTTTGACCATTTTCTTCCCTTTCATTGCCCTTCATGAAGCAATTTTCCTCAACTGAAGTATTGTCCAGAAAAATTAAAATTCTTCATGTACTTCAACTACATTTTGTGACTAAGAATACATTCCCCAAGAGGGCAGAGGCGTACTATTGTTAAGCACATACTCTTCTACAGAAATAAAAAGGCCCATGGAAATAGTTTTATTACCATTCTTACACGAATCCTATAAAGAATGCTAATCTCTAAATGGTCACATCTTTAATTAAAGGATTGCAAATGGCACTGTTTTTCTAAGTTATGAGATTTTACTGTAACATTCCCAGATTTTTATTTCAAGCAGTGGTCTTTGAATGAAGGAACGCACAAGTCCAGAGATTCCATCTGATGACAAAGAATGTTTAAGTACAATTAGTAATATTTTTGAAAGCCAACAACTGTTTTCTGAAAAAGCGGTACTTTTTTTTGTTTCAAACTGGATCACAAATTACTGTATTTTTCTTACAATAGTGCTGAAGTTTTATTTGAGGTTTTCTGTTTCTGAAAAGCAGACATGATGGATTGAAATAAAAGATAATTTATTGCAATGCTTACTTTCATGCGCAGAGAGAAGCAGTGTAATTGTAATTTACAGTAGCTGTCAAGAAAAATCCATCACAGATGACATTAAAATGACTTATTTTGCCTGAGCCACTTATTGTTTAAATGTGCATAATCTAATAGAAAGAGATTATTTTTTAAAATCTGCTTTATAGTCTTCTAAATTAATATCAAAACATATACTTATGAATTAAACATTAAAACCCATTTATTGATACTTTCATCATGACACGTACAACTATAAGTTTAGATTATTTTTGATTGAACTGTCACATATTTGTGACATGAATCTACACATTCACAATATTCTCATATGTATAGATGATATCATCTAGAAATAATCGCGAAAATACTGATTTTGAGAGCTGGGAAGAGAGCTCAGAGGGCTGGTGTGGAAACATTGTAAAGCAGATGAAGGTATAGTGAGTGAAACACAGTTCCCTAAAGCACACGAGCTATCCCTTATGGAACAAAGGGTACATCAAGAGCTCTTATCATTAAACTATTTTAGCCAGTACCTCTGTAGAGAAATCATTCAATCCTTTAGGGTTCAGAAGAGAATTTTAAAATGTTCTATAAAGACCACTAGGTGTTTGGCAGCATACTGCTACTAAAAGATGCATGAATGTCCTTTCCGTGTTAGAGGGAGGCTATGCAAAAGATGGTGAATATCTTAAAATAAATGAGATTGAGTTGAGAGATGTCTGTAAACCTCCAGTCTGTAATGATTCCAAGTACTTCCGGCTTAAAGGTGGGGACTGTTTATTTACTCCCTTTGGATTCTGCCCGAATAAGGAAAGGCAAAATAATAGATGTCCAGAAACACTCCTCTAACACATCAGAACAAATATTTGTGAAAATCGGGGCCAGTTTCCTCCCTAGAGTTAGACACAAACCATCGAAATAATGAAATATATTAGGGAAGGATAAAAAAAAGTTCCTTGTCTATTATTTTTCACACACTTTTGTAAGTGTAGTTGTTGGGACTGAATTGGGTTTTTTTCAAAGGCACTAGTACATGCAAATTTATATTCCGTGAAAACTGACCTTTGCATCCAGATAGCTAAAACCCAATGTCACTTTCAATTCTACTCTTCTTCGTCTTCTTCTTCTTCTTCTTCTTCTTTTTTAATGTGGCTAGAATTAATGTAGTGCATATGTAATGAAATGCATTATCCTGCTTGGAGATTTATCAGATTTTCCGACTGAATGCTATGCTTTGCTAGTACTAGCTGGAGTTCACCTGCATGTTGGTGTGGCGTGTGGCTCTTTTTTGTAAAGAGTTAAGTCGTACACAAAAAAAGGGAACAAAGGTCAGCACCCAGCCGCCACTTGAATGTGAGATTTTTCTTTTTATTCCCCTTGATGTATACTAGGCTCTGTGTTATTAGTCTTAATGATGGAAAATTGTAGTGTTGATACAAATCTTTTTTTCAAAGTAGTAGGCGGGAGCTCCATTTGTTAGTAAGTTTTTTTGTGACTAAAAGCCATGGACAGTACATTTATGTAGCAGTAAAAGGCCTAGATGCTCTTTCCATAGCAGAGCTAATTATTCCTACTGTGACCTTACTGATCTAGCCTGTTCCTAGTACATCTCATCTGCACGCCTGTTCCTCTGTGTAGATGGTGTCAGAGAATATGAAAAACCCTATAATGAAACCATTTTCATGATGGAGAAAGGCTACTGGAGTTGCACTTGCTACAAAGAGGCTCAATTATATGAGTAATTGTGATAATTTTCTACATTCATAGCCTTCAATGGGGAAAAAAGAATGAGAGCCACAAAGGAAAATTACTTTAACAAGAAAGTACAGAGAGTAAAAATGGAAGAAGAGACAAAAAGGGGAAAAAATAACCAGAAAAAAAGTTTAAAAAATAGATCTGGAGGGAGGAATAGCGAGACAGGGAGAACAACAGAAATGCTCCGAAGCTCATGTGCAGCTGTGTTGCACAATTAAATTGAATTTTTTTTCCTGCAGTTGATGAATGTGACTACTGCAAATGTGCCTCTGTAGTTAGCTATCATTTGTTGTTCCGTGACAGGAAAAGGATAATTACCTCTCAGAGAGAATCAAAGGCTGACATGCCCTTTAGACACAGCCATGAATGCAGAGCTCGATAGAATGCTTGAATAAGAATCTAGTGTTCTCTGCCCCCTTCCACTGAAGAATAAATTTTGTTAAAATGCAAGAGCACCACCAGTAAATTTGTTGAACCCTAGGTGTTCAAAAATATGAGGTACATCTATCGACTCATCCCATTTGCAAAAATAAAACTGCATTTTGAATTCATTTCTATTATATTCATGGACAGTAAGATAGTGAGATATGCATTAAATTTCTTTTCCCAGTAGGGGTCTGATTCAACATTTCCTATGAAAGAACAGAGAGACACTATCCTTTTTTCCCAGGCTAGTTAGCCTATAATTTAAAACTGTCAAAAACACAATTTTGTTCAAAGTCTTCAATAAAAGCTTCTCAGATATAACCCAAAGAGATTTTACTAAAGTTTGATTCAGACACTGTTACAATATTTTTAAAGCCATAAATACATTTAACTGATATTTTACAGCCTTTTTCTTAAAGTATTTGAAGGCTTACAAAGAGAAAAAAAGGCCGCATCCTTTCAAGGTGACTAAGCCTCTGATTCTTTAGACAAATGGGAAGTACTCAGGTTCACATTAATGAGAACAGGGCTTTAAAAGATACTGATGTGATCATCTTTAACAGAATTTGTTACTTTTATATGAAAACACATGTTTTGCACATCTACTTCAAAACATTTCTGCAGGACAAAGGATCTAAAAGTAGGTAACAGATCCCAAAGTAAAGTCTTGAATTCAGAAAATGCACATATGCTCAAAAAGCACACAGAGAATCCTGTGTGTACAAAAAATAAACAGTGGTATGTAGGGAAAACGAACCAGACACAAAAAGGGACACCCTTGGCAAGCTGTGTACTAATCCACTTATTTGAAAGGTAAGACTTGCCTGAACTAAGGCTTTTTAATCTCTGTGTTATAGCAGGAAAGCATCTCACTTCCTTCCTATCTAAGATGTAGCTTTTCTCCTATGTCATTACCTAAGGACTGGGATGCTTATCCCCTTCTTTACTTTCTTTCACATTTGGTGTGACTTTAAGTAATGGAAGACTAAAGAGACCCACATGTCAAGCTGAAACTAAAGCAGTCACATAAATATTGCTCGCTGCTCCTACAAGTTTCTTTGCTGACCCTGGTGTGATTCATTTTTTTTATAATATACTTTTTTTTCTTTTCTCATTTTTTTTACGTAGGGAGCAACATGCCTGGCAGTTCACATAGTGATATCAGACTGAAATGATGACTGTGAATCATAAAACATGTCATCAACTTTATACCTAGCCACCAATAACCTTTGTGCCACTTGCCAACCCTCCCTTTACTTGTCAGTGTAAGGCTTACCTGATTGTGTTTCCAATTACAGAGAAGGGAGCCCCTGCTCTGCAAGCTGCAATTGCTTCATCTCTACACCTCCTGGCAACCTCCACTAACTTTTTACCACATTCATCCACATTGCCCACCAAAAAGGTTTCAGAGGTGTCTCCATGGTATCCATTGTAATAGACCTAAACACAGGCAAAAACATTTAAAATGTATCCTTATTTAAACATCTTCTCCAAAAGAATGCATTGGATTCATTAGTTATTTGGGAGATTCACATGGTTCCATACGAACCCTTCTGGAATTACAATCAGGTTCACCTATAAAGAGGGAAGAAATAAATACACTAAGAACTTGTGAAAAATTAAAAAGAGGCCACACAAGATTTAAAAAGAGATAGATAAGGGCCACTTCAGCATTTTATGGTAACATAAAAACATAAAGTATGATTCCATACTTTATTTCTAAAAAGACGAAATCAAGTATACAAAAAGTGACCAAGGGTTGGAGTGATAGCACAGCGGGTAGGGCATTTGCCTTGCACATGGCCAACCTGGGTTCGATTCCCAGCATCCCATATGGTCCTCTGAGTACCGCCAGGAGTAATTCCTGAGTGCAGAGCCAGGAGTAACCCCTGAGCATCGCCAGATGTGACCCAAAAATCCAAAGGAAAAAAAAAGTGACCAAAAACATTGACTCATAGTGACTGTAGGAGATATGGAGAACCTAGAAGTATTTAACAGAGGACAGTTTCTTCAGTGTCATGAAGACAAAATTTGAAGGGGCTCAGTAGTAGGAATGAAATATCTTAAGAAAAATCCTGTCTAGAAGTGAAAGCCTCATTGTAAATTCCAGAGAGCAAAATGTTAACAGAAAACACCACATATGGATTTTTAAATAATTATAACAAACAGTCTTAAAAATAAAATAGCAGAAAACATCACTTTATCAGTCATCAATGATTCAGAAAGCCCTAGAGACATGATTCATTATAAAAATCAATAATTACTAAACACTATAATAAATATATAGAAGGCAGAGGAGACTGGTTGAATATCGATTATTTTCTATAGGATGGAATTTGCTATTTTGCATAAATTTGTTCTTCGTAATTTCTTCTTTTCTTCACATGAAGTAGAACATTAGAAAACATTAAAGAATCACAAATCTTTATATTCTTTGTATTATAAAAATGTCTTTTATATTTTATGAGGGAAGTAAGAAAGATATTTATATTATTTTTTTCCTCTTGTAAATCAGAAAACGTGGGCATAGAAAGTTACTTGTGTAAGGTTTGTTATAGAAGTAGATGCAAAGTAACAATTACTGGCAAGTGTTTTCATGATTGTGTTCAAACTAATAACCTTGTAATATGTCTTTACATATTTATTCCCATTTGCAATCCAGGAGGGTATAAGTTTTGATTTTATACACAAATATATAACATTTGTTAATATATGAATATTATTATGAAAATTTGTTACTCAATATTTGAATAACTGATTTGTTTATATTTGTAAAATATTTATTTGCTGTTCATATTATTTTTTGCCAATTTTCAAAATGACAACTTGAAAGGTTTAATATATAATGGAATTTAATTTTTTTTTTTTTGTCTTTTTGGGTCACACCTGGCTATGCTCAGGGGTTACTCCTGGCACTGCACTCAGGGATCACTCCTGGCGGTGCTCGGGGAACCATATGGGATGCTGGGAATCGAACCTGTGTCGGCCATGTTGGCTGCATGCAAGGCAAACACCCTACCCGCTGTGCTATTGCTCCAGACCCTGAAGTCTGTGGTTTTAAAAAATATTATAAATTACCTTCTATTATAAATAACTTATAATTTGCTGTTTGTACTACAAACTATTCTTGTTCTGTGCTTTATTTAACAAATACTAATTGAGCAACTACTATAGGCATCAGATTATCAATTTTTTAACATTCAACTTTCAAGAGGGAAATTAATCTTGTTTTGTGATACAAATGAATATAAATACTCATAAATACAATGAATATTTTTTGATAAGTGCATTAAGTATTTTGGATAGCGTTCTTCACTTAAAAACATATCTTAAAGAAACATCACTTGTTTTTTTGTTCCTTTTTTTTGGTGGAGGAGGCTTTGGGGCCACACCTGGCTGTGTTCAGAGCTGACTGCTGGCTGTGCTCAGGGATCACTACTAATGTGCTCTGGGGACTATATGCGGTACCAGGGTTGAACTTGTTTTGGCCATATGCAAGGCAAGCATCTTACCTGCTGTACTATCTCTTTGGTCCAAAACATCACTTGTAAGATACAAACATATATTTTTTGACTTCTTCACATTTCTAGATACTTGAAAGTATTTCACTTTGCTTTATGAGTTTTACAATTGTAAATCATTTGAGTGTTAAACATGGAAATTGTTTCTTAAAAGTCTTGGGAAAAAAAACTAGAAGGTCTGGGATATTCTTTCTGGACCCCTTGAAAACAGTAAGAAGAACATGCTGCTATTCAAAATAGTATTGTATTAGGGGGTGATTAGGTGAGAGAATAGCAAAACCCTCAAATCAGTTACAATCCAAAAGAAAAGTGTATCATGAAAATATTTCATTTCAGGTATACTTTATAAAATACCTCCTTCCACATAATTCTGAGTACTGGAAAGATACCAGTGGATTTTATATGGAGCAAATGTTCCAGCGTTCTAAATAGGACAAAATGATACAGGAAGGACTATCAGCAATGAGAGAATCTTTGGCTATGTACTCACACAAATTGATCTGAAGGGGAAAAAAGCTGAATTAATTTAGACAACTAAAACTCTGACTGAATTCAACTACGGGATTCCAATTTCCACCTCCTTCACACTTCTATCTAAGCTTCATGGTGAAGACACATGCTAACTATTACGAAAAATAATTCATCATTAACAGAAATTCTACTCCTAGAATACAGCTTATCTATGTACACTACTTCTCATCAGATATTCATATCCTATTTATGAAAATTTCACGAATCACCAGATGTACAGAATTTATTTACACTCTACATAATCCAAAGGTAACACTATAAAATTACCTAGTAAAATGAAGTACCAAGGCATTAATAAGTCAAGACTGAGAACAGTGAAAGCCTAAGAAAACTAGAAAAGCTTAGGACCTGTACAACTGGAAGTTTCTATATTAAATCGCTGAGGACTGTTATGTAAAAGAAACGCTATTAGCCATTTTGCGAAAACACAAGTTCTAGGGGAAATCCACTCCGCTTGTCGTTCAAGGCTCTCTACACCAGAAATGGAACACGGTGTTACCTTCAGGGATTTTAATAAATCTAAGGAACACTGCTAGCAAAAGAGTTGCTGTCCAAATAGACTGACACACACAGGCCAATGCAGCCCCTAATGACAGAGTAAGATAATGACAGGCCCCACTCAAAATCAGCAGGAAGAGGAAGATCAATCTTGGCAGAGTGAAGGAAAAATGCTGGCTTTCTTCACGTTAGCTCATCTCATACATATCTAGCTTCAGCAGCTGCCCAGTGCTGTGGTGCTGCGCATTAACTACACAGTGGATCAATAACAATTACACCTTCTCAAAAACATGACACATAGCAGGATTGGGTTGACATTTCACTTAGGCCAACATTGATCTCAGTGCATCTGATTCCAGCCCTAAATTCAAGTCAGGCCTGGGTTTACTTGGAATAAACACAGAGTTAAAGACAAAAAAGGAAACCAGCTGCTTGCGTCTGGGTCTAGAAGTAAACAGCACTTGCCTCGGTGCAGTTCACATTTTCAATCCACTCTTCTTCCTGTTGCTACCAGCAATGCTGAAGTTGATCAAAGACTATTTTTTATATGATTTACTCACCGTGACATCAATGTTGATAATATCTCCATCCTGAAGAGGTCGACTGAAACATAAATAAACCAAAAAAAAAAGAAAAAGAAGTGACAGACAGATCTTAATACAGGAATATAAAAATGAATACAGAATGAATTACAAACCCAGTGAGTTGCAATGATAATTTGGAGTAGAGAAGGGATAAATGGATTAAATATATGTCATTTATGACACGCTAGATGCTTTAAATTTTGATATGACAATCTGCCATTGTTAAAAAAAACTGTTTTTTAAAAAAATATACTCATTAGTTATCTAATTATTTGTCAAAACAACAGCTTATAGTCACATCTAAGAAGGCCCACAAAATATTACACACACACACTGCTTTGGATTACATACTGCACTGGCAAATATTAAGTAGTACTCTGTACATTTTGAAGCAAAATACTTCAAATTTTTGCTCTCCTATAATGAACTTCAGAAGTTTGCAGGTGGGTTTCAATTAAACTATAGTGTCTTTCAACATATGTTACAGATCTAGGCCTCATGTTTTAGCTTTCAAAGGAACAATATGTTATTAGGCAATGAATACCTGTCAGGAATACCATGACATAGCACGTTGTTTACAGAGGTACAAACAGATTTTGGAAAGCCTCCATAGCCTAGAGGTGAGGGATAGGCATCATGACCGATGATTTCCTGATGAACAAGAGCATCTATTTCTTCAGTTGTCATGTCAACCTAAAATATTCAATAAAGGAATGGTGCAGTGACAGTTAAAGACATTTCCTGTATTTACTGATTATGTCTATAGCTACTTGAGGGTGAGACTGTATAAATTTGCTGTGATAAATACAATATGATATTTTATTAATTATGCCTCACATGAAAATCCTAAACTGTGCCTTTAAGAAAAAAAAACACTCATTTGGATATTTGATGGCATTATGGATTAATAGGAAATGGACATTTTAAACTCTAGGATTATTAAATCATTTTGGGAGTCATTAAGTGACAGGAAAATTTTTCTTTTTCAGCCTGAAGATTTAAAAAATATGTTCTTAGGTAATCCCATCCTCTTTGTCAATGGGTTAAATATAAACACTCACGGAAATCTTTAGATAATAAAGCTTAAAAAGTAGGTCAACCTACTTTTCTAGTCTCAGAAAAACATGATGTGGGTTCTGCAACAATGGCATGGGGAATCGATTTTAAATGGAGTTTGATACAGTTTGCAACGATTTGACTTTCACTAATTTTGAAATTTTTCTTGGCTAAATCAGTCAGCTCTTTTCTTTGGTCAGGCACGGTGGTGCTGTGAGGGGTGGTGATTTTTGTAGTGCTGGTGATCAAACCCAGGGCCTCTTATATATAAAAAATGTGCTCAACTGTTGGGCCATATCGTCAGCCAAAATCAACGTGTTTGCTTTTGTTTTGTGTGTATGTGCGGAGTGCAAGAGAGAGAACCTAGGGGTTCACACATGCAAGCATGCAAGACAAATATTCTCTTACTGAGCTTCATCCCTAATGCCCCAGTCAATGTGTTTTTAAAAATATTTTCTTTTATGAGGAGATGTGCAATTACATTAAAATGGAAAGAAAAATAAAATTGAGTTTCATAATTTTTGAGTTTTCCATTTATGTAAAATCATAACTCATCAATAAAAAAAAACTTTTTTTGGGGGGGGGAGAGGGCACACCCAGCAGTGCTGAGGGCTTACTCCTGGCTCTGTACTCAGGGATCACTCCTGGAAGGCTCTGGAAGGCCATATGGGTTGCTGAGGATTGAACCCTGATTGGCCACATACCAGGCAAGCGCCGTACCCGCTGTACTATCACTGCAGCCCTCATTAAAAAAAAAATTCTAAAACAAAATTTTTATTAAAAATGAACTATTTCTTCAAGCTACATTATGCACTATATGTTGCTATAACAGTTTTATTAAATAGGTGCTACCCTAAGTAATTTTATCTTTGAGTCTCACTTTCTAAATTTTTTGCTTGTTTTTGAGTTATATGTAAAATCATAACTCATCAATAAAAAAAACTTTTTTTTGGGGGGGAAGAGGGCACACCCAGCAGTGCTCAGGACTTACTCCTGGCTCTGTGCTCAGGGGTCACTCCTGGCAGTGTTTGGGGGCTACTGTACATGGTGCTGGGAATCAAATAAGGTTCAGCTGCATGCAAGGCAAGTGTGTGTACTCTCTCTCCAACCCCTCACTTGTACACTTTGCCCACCCAAACCACAGGTCAATATGATTTTCTTAATGATCCTGACGTCATACCAGGGCATTCCAATTATTCTGAAAGACAACCCTGTGGTAAGAGAGTTGTACAATGAGATAGCTGTATTATTTACAGCTTTGGGCATCTCTGTGATCTTTGCAGGCGTATGTAAGAAAACAGGAGGCAAAGGCTGAGGTAGAGTGGCCAATCCTCAGGCACACAGAAATAATATGGGGGCTAAGAGCAGACACTGCACCAGGGCTGGAGAGGAACAAGTTAAATTTCTGCTCCTGATGAACTTGGATAAAACTACTTCAATCCAGAAGTGTCTCCAAAACTCTGCTCCCTCGGAACTGAATCCAGATCCAAAACAGAATCTGGATTTTAAATAACCTCTTGTGGGGCTGGAGCGAATAGTACTGTGCGAAGGGTGCTTGCCTTGCATGCCGCTGACCAGAGTTTGTTCCCTGGCACCCTAGATGGTTCCCTGAGCACAACCAGGAGTAAGACCTGAGCACTGCCGGGTGTGGGCCCCAACCAAAAGATGAACAAACAAGCAAACCTAAAAAGACCTCTCGAATAACTTCATAACATGAGAAAAATCCCTGTTCCCCAACACCAGATTTTACTTAATTTCCAGCAGATTAGATGTGCACAAAAGAACCCAAAGGGAAGGAGGGAAAGAGGCCGCTTGCTGTCCCTTCGGCAATGCTTCTCAGAAGCACTGGTGAGGCACCACCTTCAAACTCTTCCCAGCCAGGAGGAGAACATGCCGGGCCAGCTGACAGGCCTGACGCAGCCCTTGAATCTGATCTTCATTCTTCACTTCTATGCTGTCTCCCCAGCCGGGTACAATGCCTGTCGTCACATAGTCTGGCTTCTTTATGTGCTGGAGGAAAAAGGATTGAAAAACGAAGATCAGAACCCAGCGCACGACAATGGGATCATTTTTTTCGGACACAGCTACCCGCTTCAGGGAGCCCTGCCCTTCCTGCCCGAGCACCGACCTCCGAGGCCGGCACAACAGACCCTCCGGGCTGCCCCCGGTTCCTTCCCCTGCCCTTTTGAACTTAACATTGCCTGTGAGTGCTGCCTCGGGACGCTCTGTTAACCTTAGTGGGCTTTGAGGCAAACAGCACTGAAGTAGACTTCTGGTTAAAACAAACAGTCGTTTTCTTTTCTTCTTCCTCCTAGACCCTCCCCATCCACCCCTCCCTCCTCTCCCCCCACCCCCAGTTAGAAGCCTATTGCCATTGATGAAAAATAGCACCCACCTTCCAAATTGCCAAATGGTTAATTAAGAGCACTTTCATCTTCTGAACACCAGGATGAAATTTATGCAAAGGATAGCTCACAACCCGGTCCCTCAAACCCCATGCATTTATGTAAAAGGCCGACTGCCAGGCCCCAGACACCTCGTCCAAATCCACTTCTCTGACACTCCACAACTGTGCCCAAATGAAGAGGGGGGATAGAATAAAAATAGCTCTCTTCCCTCCTGCCCCTCCCAGGAACAGAGAAATATAGACAGAATATTTCTATGTCCTGTCACAAAACAAACACAAAACCTGCCCAAACTCCCAACACCCCCTCCCCCATTCATCTAGAAGAGTTTTTTCATCAGTCCTTGAACCCAGAGGCAGTGATCATGCGTTAAAACACTCACTGACTTTTCTCAGTCCTGAGGTTCTGCACAGCCCTTCACAGGCTATTTATGGAAACTGTTCCATAAGCACTGCTGAGCAGAGTGGGGTCTGGTCATCGGTTGGGGACAGGAAGCTGAGGAAGGTCGAGCTACTCTGCTGACATCGCAGCCACTGTGGCAGGGCCGCGGCTGGACTCCGCTCCTTGGGAAGTGGACGGTGTGAGGGCCGCCACCTGTTCTCGTGTTATAACCCAGTCACACCAGGGCTGGGGCTGGCACAGCAGAGCCCGGGGTGAGTGTCTCTTTTCTCCAGGTTACCCCACAGCTTCCCTCACCTCCCCCCACCCTCTGGTGCCCCCTCGGCTTTGGGCTTTGTGATATGATCAGGTTATAAGAGTGGGCAAGAGGGCTTTCTGGTTGTCACTGAGATTCTAAAAGTGGTCCCTCACCTCACACAGGAGTTTCTTTCTCTTTCCTAAGGAAAAGAGAAAATACCAGGAATATGCTCTGGGTGCTGGTGACAACATCTCGGCCACCAACACGGGCCAGTCACTTTCACTGAGTATAATAGACTTACTGTGGGTTCACTGTAAAGAAAAAATGCAGACAAGAGGGACAGTGGGTGACTTGGGGGACAGATCTATATTTCTTTCAGTTATTCTTGCTCTTTGAAAAGTGCTACACACCTTCTTTATACTGCATTTTGAATAATGGATAGAGTGTCTTTCCACAGAACGGCAATCTCAGAAAAATGAAGAATGATCTGAGATAAGACACTTGTTTAATTTACTCCAAAGGACATTCAAAGACAGCAGCATTTAATAACATGAAAAACGTAAAAGCAGGCTTTAGGAAAAGACATCAAGTGCATTTGTTTCCATTAATCTCTCCAGAATGATCCCAATTTTATTGTAGGATTTTCCCTATATTTATAGTTTGGACACCAAATACATGTAGTATCTCCATATTATCTTCATGTTAGAGATTTTGTATAAACATTTCATGAGGGCAATTCAAATTCTAAATAAGTTAAGCAGGTCTTGGCTTCGTGGTTTATGCTAAAAATGTAACATTACAAAACTGTGGGATGTTTAAACTTCTCAAATCACAGTTTTAAATCACAAATCAAGTTTAAAAATTACGATTCAATAGCTTACACATCAAGGCTGCAAAAACACTTCATCGCTTCTACCGTTAACCTTTATCTTGGCTGGAAGAAAACCAGCAGATAATAGGCAATGCGGTACCTGAGGGACTGGATGAGCTGAAGAAACTGCAGCCGGCAAAACTATATTGTGTGTAACATCTCTTTGTCTCCAGAAAAGGAAATTTCTTCTTTGTTGACTGCTGGGCTGCTTGTGTAAGTAGATATGATTGAGTGGTGAGCAGAACATTCTTTGACAACCTGAGAGCAGAAAGAGACATATTTTAAATTAAAACCAAAATACAAAATAAACCCTACCATACTGCTCTGTTTTCGGATGTTGTGTTTTAGTCTAGTAAATCATTATTCCAATCCTTTATTGGCGCAAATGGGAAAATCCCCCCCACTAGAAAGGAAAGTGGTAATAATCCGAGTTGCAGTGCAATAGTAGTGTGTATTTATTAGTTAATACTATGTTGGTCTAAATGTTTGACAATAGAAAAACTCTAATGGGAAATAAACATATAGAAGCATCTGATAAGCACCATATCAAGGAAAAGAACAACTTCTGTTGTGGTACCTTAGACAACAGTGTCTAGGATGACACAAGATTTGGGATGCTGTTAGGTGCCTTTATATTCTTTAATGCGGCACGCTTTCAAGAATCATGGACAAATTGCCAGCTGCACTTTTTGCCCTCGATAGGATTTTACTGCCCTGTGTGAAGCTCACGTGCAGTGAGGCATTATACTGAAATTCACTGTGATGAAGGCACAAATCACGCTGGAAGAAAACCAACAGAAGTCCCTCAGGACCTACCCAGGGAAATTTACACCGATGTATCGGAATGTTAAAATGCACATTGCTGTCAACTCAGCAATTTATCTCCTAGGACTTCTACCTTACAGATATTCTGCAGGAATGGATGTAATAAGGTGTGGCCTCACTGTAGTGGTGAGGTAGAAACATGAGGGAATAACCCAAATGCTCATCAACTGGGGCCTGGTTCGCTATAACATGTATGTATCTCCATACCTGAAAACTACGGAACCTGTAGAGAATAAGCTCAATCATTTCAACATACTGGAATAGAAAAAAGTCACCATACATTGCTGGGAAAAAGAAAATGCTGAACAGGGGCTGGAGCGATAGTACAGCGGGAAGGACATTTGCCTTGCATACGGCTGACCCAGGTTGGATCCCCAGTGTCCCATATGATCCCCTGAACACAACCAGGAATAATTCCTGAGTACAGAGCCAGGAGTAACCCCTAAGCGTCACTGGATGTGACCCAAAAAGCCACTAAATAAATAAATAAATAAAAATAAATAAATAAGTAAAATGCTGAACAAAAACATTTTTTTTGAAAAAGCACATTAATGTTAAGAAAAATTTTTAGAAGTTTAGAAGTACTTTTATAGAAGTTTGTATAGCCCTACAAAATTTCTTCTTCCTTTTCTTTGGTGGGGAGGGGGGAACATCCAGCAGTGCTCCAGGATTACTCCTGACTCTGCACTCAGGATTTCTCCTGGTGGTGCTTCAGGGAACATATGGGATGTCAGGGATTGAACCTGAGTCATCTACATGCCAGGCAAACACCCTCGCCATTCTATGATCACTCTGGCCCAGGCCTATAAAATTTCTCAAAAACTGATAGTCATCAACAGTATGGTTCATTTTGGAGCATGTAACTGGGGTTAGAGTGGTGGACAGGAAGAATTCAGATTCACTAAATTTTCTTCTAGGCTGTTAAAAGATTTTAAAAAACAAATGACTTGCATTACTTTATTTTAAAAAAATTATTATTAGTATTATTATTATTTTGCTTTTTGGGTCACATCCGGTGATGCACAAGGGTTACTTCTGGCTCCACACTCAGAAATTACTCCTGGAGGTGCTCAGGGGACCATATGAGATGCTGGGAATCGAACCTGGGTCGGCCACGTGCAAGGCAAGTGCCCTACCTGCTGTGCCATTACTCCAGCCTCACTTGCATTACTTTAAAACAGTAGCTTGAAAAACTCCCCATCACATCTTAATTGTACATCACATCAACAAACTATAGTCCTAAAGGCCAAATATGACCAGCTGCCTGTTTTAATAGAGCCCACAGCCTAAAAAGGACCTTGGGGAGAGGGGGGCTCACAGGGGTGTTTAGGGGACCACGCAGTGTCGGGCATTGAACCCATACCTCCTAAATACAAAGCCTGTGTCTAAATTTTTTTTATATTTATAAATGGTTATCGCTCATAACACAGCAGTAGGGTGTTTGCCTTGCACACAGCCGGCCTGGCCGAGCCAGGTTCGATTCCTCCGCCCCTCTCGGAGAGCCCGGCAAGCTACCGAGAGTATCTCGCCTGCACGGCAAAGCCTGGCAAGCTCCCCGTGACGTATTTGATATGACAAACACAGTAACAACAAGTCTCACAATGGAGACGTTACTGGGCCCGCTCGAACAAATCGATGAACAACGGGAGGACAGTGCTACAGTGCTATAAATGGTTGGGGAAAATCAAACAAAAAATCATCTTGTAATGGAATCTAAATTGAAGTATCAGTCAAAATGGCCCATACATAAAGGTTTATGGGAACATCGGCAAGCAACCTACCCACCATACTATGGCTCCAGCCCCATCTATGATTGCCGTCGAGCTACCATGGAGGTGAGTGGCAAAGACTATCTGGCCCACAGAGCCTAAAATTTTGACAATCTGGCCATTTGCAGTAGTTGGATGATTCCTGGTTTAGAGCAAAAGGTCTCAAAATGTGGTGCCCAAAGCAGCAGTACCAGGTGTCACCAGGAAAGAGATGCTAATTCTCAGGTCCCTCCTTAGCCTGCTGACGCAAACTTGGATGAGGCCAGCATAGGGAGCTGTACCAAGTCCTCCTCAGGTGATTCTGATGCACAATGAAAGTTACCACTTACTGGCCACCAGTACCCTTCCAGCTGCGAAACATCACGGAAACACAAACTGTAGATGAGTCCCAGCCCAAACACTCAAAATCCCTTAGCGGATTGGAATAAAGTCCTGAAGCAAACTCCAGTGGGACGTGACTCCAGGCATGGGTCACTCAATTCTTCCATAAAGTCAAAGGTAACAGTGTTGAATCTGACTTAGTGCAGTATCTGGGTATTATTAATACTTGGGGTGGGGGGGGGGGAGGGGCACACCCAGCAGTGTTCAGGGACTCCTCCTGGCTCTCTGCTCAGGTATGACCCCTGGCAGTACTTGGGACACTATGTGTAGTGTCACAACCAGATCAAATCAGGGTCTGCCACATGCAAAACAAGTAATTTAACCCCCATATAATCTCTCCATCCCCTTAGATTATTATTTTCAAACAATTCCAAATATAGGGCCAGAGAGATTACACAGGAATATGGTACTTGCTTTGCATGCAGTCAACCCCAGGTCAATCCTGGGCATGACAGGGAGCATAGGTTTTGCATGCTGGAAGACTGGGTTCAATCCCCAGCACTGTATATGCATATGGTCCCCTGAGCACCACCAGCACAGAGAGAGAAGGAGGCCCTTATCACAACAGGTATGGGCCCTAAACAGCTTAAAATTAAATATTAGCTATTAAACTATTACAAATACATGATTTTTAAAAACCTGCCAGGATTATCACTTTCTCTTTTCTTCTTTTGGTTTTGGGGCCACACCCAGCAGTACTCACGGGCTACTCAAAGCTTTGGGGATCACTCCTGGCAATATTCATGAGGGCCTAGGGATCAAATCCAGTTCTCCAACATGCAAAGCATGTGTTCCGGCTCATTAACCTACCTCTCCAGCCACTGTGTCACTTAAAAAAATTGGGAGGTCAGAACAATAGTACAGCGAGTAAGTTGTTTACCTTGCACACAGCCAACTCAGACTTGATCCCTAACACTATATAAGGTGCCCCCAGCAGTGCCAGGAGTGATCCCTGAGCACAGAACCAAGAGTATGCCCAAGCAAAGCTGGCTGTGGTCTCAAAACAAAACAAAAAATCTTGCTTGGTAGAAGCAGGTACATAGCCCTGAAAGGTTGAAAAGGATGACATAGCTCCTGAAAGACGACAACACCAGCCCTCTGGTTGCTAACTGATTTATAAGGTGTAGGTCAGGTAGGAAAAGCTGAGTGTTGGTTGAAAAGCAGAAATTTGGACTTTCTTCTTTCTCTTCCCCTCCCTCTTTTCCTCCTTTCCTTTCCTTTTTTTTCCTTTTTTTGGTCACACCCAGCGATGCTCAGGGGTTACTCCTGGCTTTGCAATCAGGAATCACCCCTGGTGGTGCTCAAAGGACCCTATGGAAAGCAGGGATGGAATCCAGGTCGACCACATGAAACACCCCACCCACTATGCTATCACTCCAGCTCTTCCCCTCCCTCCCTCCCCCTCCCTCCCCCTCCCTCCTTCTTTCCCTCCCTCCCTCCCTTCCTTCCTTATATCGTAGCTCATCACTCCTCATAAGAACCTTGAGAGCTGCTATTACTCCATACCCCCATGAGAACACACAAAGGTAAGGCAAACACCCACCCACTATGCTATGGCTCCAGCCCTTCCCTCTCTCCCTCCCTCCTCCCTCCCTCCCTCCCTCCCTCCCTCTCTCCCTCCCTCCCTCCCTCCGCTCTCTCCCTCCCTCCCTCCCTCCTCCCCTCTTTCCTTCCCTCCCTCCCTTTCTTCCTTGTATGGTAGCTCATCACTCTTCATAAAAGCCTTGTGAGCTGCTATTATTCCATACCTACCCCCGTCAGAACACACAAAGGTAAGTGACTTCCCTGGGGACATGAAGCGTGTGCTAAACCTCAGAGAAAGCAGCTCAAGCTCCCTCCACAAAATATATTACTTCGCTCAGATGCATGAGGGCAAAACATGAGTTAATGCACATTCAGAAAATGTCAAAGGCATCAAAAGACAATAAAAAGTTATTGCTTTCCAAACTCTGGGTGGTCCTCATCTGGCCACTCTCTCAAACTAAGCCACCTGTGTTGCCCAAACATGGGCTACAGCAAGATGGCTGACAGAGGACAGCTGGGCAGCCTGTGGGTACAGAATGGTAAATCTGGGTCCCTGGTCAACAAAGGAATCAGGATAAAAACAGCTCATGACTCGGGACCCTCCTAGAGCCAGGGAACACAAGACACAAGCTCACAAGCTCACTTTCCTCCTGGGAAAAGTACGTATCATGAGAACTATTAATAACCATAACACCAATAGAAATTGTAAACATAATAGTGGTTAGCATTTAATGGCCACTTCCTTTTGGGTGAGGGAAG